ACCAATTCAAACGGAATGACGTTTGGGAATTGGTGCCAAGGCCCGATGATCGTACGATTATTGGTACGAAATGGGTGTTCCGTAACAAACTTGATGAAAATGGAATAATCACTAGAAACAAAGCTAGGCTCGTAGCTAAAGGCTACAATCAAGAAGAAGGCATTGATTTTGAGGAAACCTATGCACCCGTAGCACGTTTAGAAGCTATTCGTTTACTTCTTGCTTTTGCTTCGTCTATGGATTTTAAACTTTATCAAATGGATGTTAAGAGTGCCTTCCTCAATGGTTTTATTCAAGAGGAAGTGTATGTTGACCAGCCCCCGGGGTTTGAAGACTTTGAGTTTCTTCAAACTCAAGAAAGCGCTCTACGGTCTTAAACAAGCACCCCGTGCTTGGTACGAACGTTTGAGTAAATTTCTTTTGGACAGTGGTTTTCAAAGGGGAAAGATTGACACTACACTTTTTATCAAGAGTAAAAACAATAATATCCTTTTGGTTCAAGTTTATGTAGACGATATTATATTCGGTGCTACTAACGTGTCTTTGTGCAAGGAATTCTCAACGCTAATGATAAGCGAATTTGAAATGTCCATGATGGGTGAGCTTACATTCTTTTTGGGACTCCAAGTTAAGCAAATGAAAGATGACACATTCATTTGCCAAGCTAAATATTGCAAGGAGCTCCTAAAACGGTTTGAAATGGACAACGCCAAAGCCATGGCGACCCCGATGAGCACGTCTGACCATCTTGACAAAGACGAGAAAGGTAAGGAAGTAGAGGTCAAAAAGTATCGAGGTACCCCGTTCATGAAATCAGGGGGATCCATGCAAACAGCGCTGTCCAGGAGACCCAACAGCGCTGTTAAGAGAAACACCGTCAACCAGTTTGTGCCAACAGCGCTGTACAACAAGCCAACAGCGCTGTCCCAGGGAGTCACTTACTCTTCACCTTCCAGAAACTTTTTGAACATCGATGTTCCTTTCAAAAACATCGCTGTCTACCCAAAACACCTTGTTTTCCACCAAAACCAGAAACTTTTCAAACAGCGATGTCTCACTTTCAACATCGATGTTCATTTTTACAAATTTTTTCTCTATAGTAAAACAGCGATGTAGGGACACCCAACAGCGCTGTTCTAATGGGTTCAACCCCGTACATATTTCCAGAAACTTTGTGAACAGCGCTGTAGGATTCCCAACATCGCTGTCCATTTAACACTTGTTTTTAAAACTTGACGCAAACCAGCGCTGTCCAGAGGCTCAACAGCGCTGTCCACACAGCGATGTAGCCTTTGGAACATCGCTGTTCTGGATAAATTTTTCAAAAAAAATATCCGTTGCAACTGCATTAATTGCTCCAACAGCCATATTTTTGAAAATCTGGTCGTTGGGGACCCTCTTTTCTATATATTGGGACCCCCTCTCTTCACTTTTACACACACAAACACAAATTCCTTCAATATCTCTACATATTTCATCTTCTCTACTCTAATCTTTTGAGATTTCTTCACCATAGGCAAAGATAAGGGCATGGCAGGAACCTCCGGGAAATCAAAGTCCAAATCCCGGGCGCCTACGACATCCTCCGAGGAACGCCTTTACTACGACGACGGGTCATACCTCTGGTTTGATTCCGAGGAGGAACGCACCCGTTTCCTCACCTTCTTCTCTAAACGGGTTGTGGCTCCCCCGCGAATCATCCCGGAGCGCTACCCGGAGTTGCAGGGTTACGACGACCTAGACGCACAACTTCATCAAGCCGGCCTTTGGCCGTTCGTCTCCCGGGCGTGGAAGGAGATCAACCCGGCGCTGATCCGGGCCTTCTACTCCAACCTCCGGCGTGAGGACGACGTCATCTACAGCCTCGTCAAGTCCACGCCGATTGAGCTCACTATAGAGCAGCTTGGGCGTATCGCCGGCCTTCCCTTCCAAGGCGACGATGTCTCTCACTATGGCGGAGAGGACTGGGTGCTCAACAACGTGGGCCTTATCCTAAACGAGCTTGGCATCACCGAGCTCATACGCCATGCCTCGGGCCGCCCCACCATCCACTCCGCTAACCCCGAAGGCCGTCTCGTTCTCTACATCGTGTCCCGGATCATCAAACCCCGGAAGCACGGCCACACAATCATGTCCGGAGAGGACCTCAAGCTCGTCCACGCGATCATGCACTCGGCCCCAATCAATTGGGCGAAGTTTGTCATGATCAACATGACGATCGCCGCGTCCACCGAACACGATCACCTCCTCCCGTACCCGTTTTTGGTGATGGACATCCTTGAACGGTTCAAGGTAACCACCACCGTTGGCCCGCTCACGAAGGCCACGAAGCTTTGGACGATAAGCGCCCAAACCTTCACCAAGCGGTCGGACAACGCCGCGCGTGCCACTGCTGCGCCACGCCGCACTGCCCCTGCCGCTGGCCCAGCCGAACCCCAGGCCCGGGCCAACCTCGCCTCCATCGCCGACTCCCTCAACCGGCTGCACTTCAAAGTTGACGGGATGGATGGCTACCTTGAGAGGCTTGACGAGGCGGTCCAACGCCAAGGGTACGCCATGAACGCGTACTTCCAACGCGTTAACTACGTCCCCCCACCGTAACATGGCACGTTCTTTGGGCAAGTGTACGGTGACGAGGACGAAGACGATGCCTCCTATGCCCCGTCAAACTCCCCGGATGACGACGAGTTCGATGACGCCATTGATGGTGATGAGATGGACGTCGACGACGACGAGGACGAAACCGAAGACGAAAACTAGGACACCCCTAGAATTTCTATCTCTTTTCCTTTAATTGTCTTGTTTTTTTTATGCTTCCGTTGTACTCTACTATTTCCCATCAATAAATAAAAGTATCTTTTATCTTTTTGTTAATGTCAAAAGGGGGAAGATAAGGGCTATGCATATACTAAGGGGGAACGAGACCGTTTGATCCGACTAAATTTTTTTTATAAAAAAAAAGCACAAATTAAGGGGGAACTTTTTCACAATTCTATGAAAATCAAATATCCCTTAGTATGCATATCCCCGTCTTGTTTGCCATTATCAAAAAGGGGGAAATTGTTGGAACACGGGTGTACGCCTACGTCGTACTAAACTGTGTTCGTTTTATGACAGGTTTTGATAATGCCAAACTGCCGTGACAAAAACAAGGTTAAAGTGAGCAAAACCAAGGCGAAGGAACATGGCATGATGATTTGAGAACCAAGAACCAAGAACGAAGAATTAGAATTCTATTGAGTCAGTCTTAATGTGATCAAGACCGGCACAAACTTTCAAATCTTGGCTCTCTAGGCTTCTCTTATCAAATATATTTTGCATATTCAAAAATGTTTCTCTTAAGTTTTAAACTGCCTAAAAACACTTGGAGTTCGCCCAAACCAAAAACCAAGCCATCCGGCGTTCGGTCTTCGAAAACCAGCGTTCAGCTTTCGGTTATCGGCATTGGTTTTTGGCGTCCGAACCAACCAAGTGGTTTTCAACTTTTAATGATTAATTTTTACTTCTGGGCATGTATAAATAGTTCTCCAACAAAAACGCTTCAAAAACCACCTTTCGTTTTTGGTCGTTTAGTGAAAACCATGCGAAACGGCGTAAACTTGGCTAGCCGTGGTTTTCAACTAAATGACGTGGTTTTCAAAATGTTTTACTTGATTTCTTAGCAAAGTACAATAAACAAACATTTTCAATACTTGGTTTTTATTTTGGAGAACTTACAATTTTGACATCGGCTAACGGCTGACTAAACCAACCATGGGTCTGGCTAAACCAGCCCAACAGTGATGTTGGTGAAACCAACAGCGCTGTCTGGCTTGGGTGGCTGAAAACCATGGTTTGGCGTTATGTCTTCCAACAGCGATGTTGGATGTTAGACATCGCTGTTGAGCCAAGGTTGGATTTCCTACAGCGCTGTCCAACCTAAGCCAAAAATACAGTGCATTGGCAGAAAGTTTTTGGACAGCGATGTTGACCCAGCAACAGCGCTGTCAGGCCAAACTTCCATCTTCAAAAGTCAGACCTAAACAGCGATGTTCAAGTAATGAACATCGATGTAGGGACCTGACTGTTGGAAGAAATTTAAGGCTAAAACTTTCCTTTTTTGGAAGTCAACAGCCAAAACAGCGATGTAGGGGTATTGGACATCGCTGTTGGCATGACCGTTGCTTCCCAATTTTTAAAAACCAAGCCTAGAACAGCGATGTCCAAGCCTAGGACAGCGCTGTCTGGGTGAATTTCAGCAGATCCAAATTTAATCAAATCCCACAAATTGTGCCAATCACCCCTTAAATGTTTTGGTCCGTTGGAGCCTATTTTTCCACTATAAAATGGGGTGTTTGGGTCTGTTTTAAT